TTATCACATACTAGCTGGAGAACCCGTTGTAGTTCATCAGGTATTTTACTATTCATAAGCATAAGCTAATTCCACAGTTTCCTTGTGCTTGGTATTAGATCATTATTTTAGTTTAAAAAGTATGGGTTTACCTGTGGTATTTCAAAAATTTCCAGAATGATGTTGGCCTATGTCACCCCTGGGGTTACCTATGGTTGTTTGGCCAGCTATAACAAATATATATATATACTATGTTTACTTTATATCCATATTACTTCATCCATTCTCGTTTCTCTTAGACTTGATTTATACATAAATCAAAGGGTTCGTTTAGATGGGCACATTCCACTTTTTTACAATTCGTTTGTTCATCGCGCGTTTGTTAACAGTCCATTTCGTTAATTATTTTTTGGTTTTTTTTTGGTTTTTTCATTTCTAATTGGTTTTCCTTCGTCCATTTTGAATTTGTAAATTTCACCGATTTTTGTTTGTTTTGAATTAATGATTGGTCATTAACCCAGATAGGATTCACAATTGTAAAAATACTAAAGTACTGCAGTTTATTGCTCCCAAGCGCGAGAATATGTTTGTTAGTCTGAGAATCTAGCCCATCTTTAGATCGTTAATGAACGGTAAATTTAAGAGAGACTGAATGTACCCAGCCTTGCTAAAAGCAACGAAATCTGACCTGGATGAATATCACGCAAACAGTTTTTATTCTTCAAATTCAATTATTTGCCGATGCAAAATAGTCCCATTTAAAACAAGAAATAAAAATCTCTTATATCATTTCAAAAGTTACCCCCTTTTTTCATGAACAAAAAAATCAAAAGTCTTAGCATTTTAATAGATACAATTGTTAGTTTTCATAGTTTGAGCACAAAGGTCAGCGTACATTTTTTGTAGAATTCAACTTCTATAAAGCATTTATCTTGTCGCAGAACATAAAAATGACTTTCTTGATAAGAATTGCGGTGTGAGTTATGAGCATAAAGAAAGAAACAAAGAGTTAAAGAGTCGAATATACACAGCGAACCACACTTTAGCAAAATTTGTGGCCGGGTGGTTGATTGTTTACGTATCTAACATTGTACACCTTTTATATTTATAGAGTGATCCTATCCGTCAGCCATGTACTTTAAAGGAACCTAAATTTTTAGTGCCCTGATCCCCCCCCCCCTGTTTTTTCTCAATAACTAAAAAACGGCTCTCTAACATAACTTTATAAATAATTCTCGGTCGGTGGTCTTTTTTTCAGAGCACAGTTCCGACAGTTCTGTACCCGAACGTAAAAACAATTATAAATGTAAAAGAAAGCCGCATCACCAAATTCCATTTTAAGATAAAAAAAACGCCTCTGGGATATTGAAATATTGTCCAGTAAAGATTTATATTATTTATCAAGACAGAAACAATCATTTAGGTATATCATTTGTTCCTAACCTCCATCTTATCACCTTTTATGCATTTATTACAGGTTACATGAACCAGAAAAATGATTCCTTTAAAAAAAAGTGTTGTCCTTGTAAGTTTTCTAAATAAAGAATTAACCAAGTAAAATTAAAGAAAGGAGAGACATTGTTTTTATGTTATTATTACAACATGTGAAGAATAAACATGCAAACAAATAGGAGATACCAAAGACAGTAGAATAGTAGAAGACAGGGCATTAGGAATTTATCCGAATAGTGTGTACTGTGTACACTTTCATATTGGCTGCAGTATTGGTTTTAAATTCAAACAATCAACATTAAAACTCTAGTTATCAACTAAATTAATCATTGTAGGTGCTAAAAATGGTAGGAAAATAACGTCGCGGTTATAAACTTCTAAATTTGTTTTAATCAGTTATGGGATATAGGATGCTCTCCTTTTAAGATAAAGCTAAAATTGTGATTTTGTTACGCATCTCATTTGTATGCAAAATATCACATATTTTAAAACAAAATTTGTTAGATGTCATTAAGTATAGTTTTGTAATAGTCTAAAGCAGAATTTTAGGCCAGTAACGTGAGCAAGGCCCGAAAAAAGCTTGGTTTTAAGTAGCCCAATTTTTTTAACCAATTGCATTGCAATCTTTTTTATTATAAAGTTTATCTAAAAAGATTATTAAGTTATGCATTTTTAACGGCAAATTATATAAAAAACGCAAGTTTTTGGTGATGGAAATGCTTAAAAAGTCCTAAATCTTTTTAAATTATAGAAAAGACGACATTCTATTGCTTCTTTTTAACCCAATGGAGGCGTCTGATTTTGCGTATAAATCCCAATACTCTTTATACTACAAAGCTCTTTGGGAGATACTGATTACAAGTTGTTTTTGTTTGTATCCTAAGAATGTTTGATATGACTGAATAGAATAATGTGAAATGTAACTACTACTGCAATATTTGGTTTTATTATTGATATGTATTGTTTCGTTTTCGAGCGATCAGTTAATTTTTAAGCTCAGTGCCATACCTAGAAATTTGGTAGAGTGGGAGGCACAATTTTAAAAAGATTAAACTCTAATCAGAATAAACATTATGTACATGTAGTGATTTGAGTTAAACTAAAAATAAACGTATTACTGAAAATTTGTGCATCACAAACAGCCAATATTTATCTTTACTACAGGAAAAATTGGCTTGAAAAAAGAAAGTAAATACCTATAAAAGTTCAAGATAAGCATAAGCATGAAAATATTCATTTTTGAATTTAAAAAAACTCCCCTATCAGCAATGATGAGTACAAAAAGCTTCTCCTAAATCTGGCAGTACTTTATTTGTCTCCATGTTGTTACTTTTTACTGCAAGATAATACATTAAAACCATTAATCTAATAACAATCAGACAAGGATAAGTTTCTCAAAATACAAAAAAAAAAGATTTTAAAATGTAAAATTTAATAAAATTTCAAAATAATCCTTAATTAGATAATTTCCCATTTTCCCCTTTTTCCTTCTTTCTTTCATCTTTTGTTTCATTCTTTTAATTTTTTCAATTTTTTGTTTCAGATAATATGCCCCTCGAGCAACAGGGGGGAACATGCCCCTGTGCCTCCCCCCTCCCATCCAGCTACAAGTCTGTTTCAAGCTGGTGGTAATATTATTTGGTTTCTAACAACACCAAATACAAGATTACGNAACTGACCTCCAGGTCCTCCTGATTCGCAGAATGACCTCCTAGCCAATCAAAGTTATGTTCATGGGTTCCTTGAAACTCCGAACTTGTTTCGCTCTTTTCCAAATCATTTGATGATATATTTAAAACTGAAAACTTTACTTTAATCTAGAGGATCCTCATATTTTCAGAGTTTTAAGTCTTTGTTACAGTCTCATCCTTTCTGGGTATTTAGGGTACCCCTGTATAATTATGTGTACTTCATATCACATACAGCTGAGATTAAAATAATGTCTGAAGGGTTCAGGATTAGATACCAGTATAAAAAATTACGATGAAGGATTCCCCTTGATTAACATTAAAAAACATCATCTGAGTTAATATCACTTAAAAGTGACAACTTATCTTTATTTAGTTGTTTATTTGTCTCTGCTAAATTTAAGTCGTTTTGAAACCAAGTATTTCTGTGATACAATTCAGTGAATATACGACACATTATTTATTGTTAGAAAACAGTTTGTAACATTTCTGTTCCTAAATATAAATATTGTACACTGGACAGACGCAGATTTTACTACAAGTACAATCTAGAAAATACTGGGATGTAAAACTGTATCATTATATAATACTCAAGTACGCGTAAGCACATCTATCTTATTGATAGAACAATAAGATATCTTTATTGTCTAGCATGCTGGTTTATATCATTAAATAAGCAGACAACAGTTTAGTTTTATTATTTACCATTATAGGGTATAGATTGATTATACAGGGTGTCCCTTTTAAAATGGGTGAGTGACATTTTTGATATCTTCTTTTTAAATACTATTATGGTATATAGGCATCCGATGATGTTCAAGAATTTATGTGTTTATGCATTTTGATTGCTTATACTCCTGTAATGAATGTAATGTAATGTAAATTATTAATTCCTGTAAATAAAACAGCCTTTTACCGGTTACATGAAATATATATTAGAAGAAGTAACTTTATCCTAAGCATTTAACTTGGTAATGGAATGTTAATTTTTTTAAAAAGACGACTTCGTATTCGTCCCCTAATTCCCATATTTCTAAAAATATAGTATTTTCAACTTTTTTCAGTTTAAATATACATTTTAGATGTTTAAATATATATTTCTTCAAAGACAAAAGACAAAGGGTCTAACCCAATCATCAGTTGGAATATTTTATATATATTTATATTTATAGTTGTTTATAGTTGTTCAAAGAATTTTAACTACTGAGGATCGTCATGATAGACGTGAAACATTATGTTTAGTATAATTCTTCTTTAATAAAAAATGTGAAGTTAAAAACCGAAATATATTTATATTTAAATATATAAATATCTTGAGATAATTTTTTCTTTTATTTTTGCGACCATTTCTACTTGACTTTGGTCCCAAGGTGGATACATTTTATCATATAGTCTTTACAGGAATAAATCAAAAATATTTTAAAAGCTTTTGTATCCCCCTTTTGGCTAAATATATGTGTGTTGGTTCTTCCAATTTAAGTAATGTATTTTGCACTACACCATTGCACAATGCAAACTGGTAAAAGATACTACTAAGTAGAGTCTATCCTAAACCTAATTTCAGTCTTCTGCAATCTTTAAAACTGTTTTGCAATCCATTCTTTCCTACCTTCCTTCTTCTCTATTTTTTCCTTTTCTAAAAATTATTGTTATCCTATTGCAACAGCCCAACCCAAAATATTTTAAACACTACATTGCAATTCTAAAATAACTTTGAATTATATTTTTTAGAGGTTTGAAATTAAAGAACTGTTTGGTTCTGTGGTTTTCCATTGATGTTTTTAAGAAAAAATTATCAAAATAATGTACAGATTATACAATCAAGCTTGGTTCTCAAGGTTAAAGTAAGATACCAATTTTGTTCAATAAGATAACTGTATGTCTGCATGTAGCATATATTTTCTTAAAACAAATAGCATCACATTAGTTCTGATTCACAGATTATGTCTTCGTCTCATTCAGATTAAGTAGTCCAGGTCGCTTAGGGTTTAGTAAACGGGTCCTCTTGCCATTTACAGTGTGTCTAAATATTTATTGAAATTCATTATTAATTCTATTATAGTTTTATTCACTTTAAACGCTTGGGAAACAAAGATTTTAGAAATAATTGAGCAATTATAGGATCCAGTTCAACTCTATAGCTTTCCTCAAACAGGGAGACAGAGAAAAATGGCAAATCCTAGTTAAACGTACACATGCATAAGAAACTTGAGGTATGAAAGGAAGTTAAACAGGAAAACAAGATAATCAACAAGGAATGCCTGGATTCATCTGTCAACGCTGTATTACCCCGGAGAACCGAGGTTTTGTATCTTTCTGGCTCCAGGCTTGCTATGGAAAATCTCGACTTGCACTCCTTAGAAACAGGTCTGGTGAGCCAGCTTTTGAGTGAAAACCTACAACCTATGGGAAACATGTAAATATTCATCAACCACGGACCTTCCAAATGTTGAGAAGAATCAAGTACAAGTATAATTTAGTATGGCCCAAGATGCTCTTACACATCAGTTTTAAGACTCCAACTGTTGATACTCCTTTTACCAAATTTGTCATTATTTATTAGTGGAGATTCTGACATTGGGTCCTACAAATATTAAAAAAATCGCGTTAGGTGCGGTGTTCCTTTTACTTTCCTTACCCTGCAACAGAGCTGGAAACGTACACATTAATTGTGTATAGATCTATACTTAGTAGAGTCATCATTTAACATCTACAAACCTTCTGAGGTAGCAAATATCAAATTCCAGAAAACCTGGAAGGGGTATTATTTCATGATTATTCATGGGTTCAGTGTCAGCAGCTGAGATATTGAATTTAGAAACATAAAATGAGCTAAACTTCCTTCCGAGAAACCAGAAATATCAGACCGAATTAAAAAAGAAGCAGAGAATAGCAGAAGTCTCAATCATTGAATAGGTAGATAAGAAGAATGTACAGACTTTTTCTAATACCAATTATTTTGAAAATATCAAAATAAATGTTGGTGTACTGTTTCCCACTTTGGGTTTTTGGGGTCCAGGGGGAAGGGTCCCGGCCTCCCGGGGCCCCAAGAATCCAAAAGTGGGAAAAACTGGAAAACTGTAATACTTTCAAAATAATTTTGTAATATTTTGTAAAAATCTTTCTTAAAACATTTTAAAATTAAGAAAAAAATTGTTAAAAGTCTTCATAAGATTATTTTTACTTTAAGTAATTTATTTTGTAAGTTATGAAAGTGAGCTTTGTTCTGAAAAGCGGATTATACACAAAAGCGGGAACGTGACATTGTCTTGAAATAGGTTTTTAAAATAACTCCTTTTATTATTTTTATTTCAGAAAATAGTTTCAGAAGGGAAATTGTTGTCCTTGTAATGCTTAATAAAATGTTGGGTAAAGTTTTTACTGCCAATTTTTACTCTCGAAATGGACCGGGATCTTAAAACTCCAGTCTTTCAATTTGTGCCCATTTCTAACACTCAGTGTTAATGGGCCAAGTGTTAGTTTTAGAAACTATTGTCCCCTGAATTTTGTTGGACATTTAGTTTGATCGCACGTATGAGTTTGCAGTAAACCCCTGCTTATTAATTAATACCTGTTTGCAATGAGATGGATGTGTGAGAAAGCTATCTTTTCTCAAAACAGTTGTTGAGACAGGCATTAACGTGGGATCCTAAATTGGCAGACACTTTATATTCAATTTGTCTTACATAAATTTCAAATAAAATTAAAAGATTAAATTATTGTCGCACTTTCAGATTTTTTACAGTGAAACCCTTAATAACGAATACATCGAAAGAATTCATAAAATGTCGTATTCTTCACTTTCTGATAATGGAATGCTGCAGATATTTAGTTTTTTTTAATTAAATGATTATATGGAACTCTTTAAAACTGTTCCCGCATATTCATGGTTATTTATTTATTTTCGCAAATACTGAAATTTACGTAATATAGTATAAAACTCATTGAAAAAATTTCAAGACGACATTTGATAAATTCTTCCGATGTATTCGTTATTAAGGGTTTCACTGTACAAACGCTATTATTAAAGAAACTTTGATTATTCCAGGCAAAACCTTATTTTAAGGCAAATCACTAGAGGGTTCTGAATTAAGTCACCTGAATGTAATCTCCTGTCTGACAGGCCTCGTCTCCTAGTATAAAATCAATGAAGGACACCACCTCTCCAGATACAAAACTCCTGTAGGCGTCCCTGTCAGCGTCCTTAGGAGCAGCACTGCAGAAATGGGACAACTGTAAATACAAACATTTCATTATCATGATTTGTGTTTCCAGACGAAAATCTTAAATTCAATTTTGAAGAAAAGTGATTTTTTCATTATTTAAATTCAAAGTTCTTAACTTTTTGTCATTTTACTTTTAATTGCACCAAAAAAAAAATGGCTTAATAATATATGTTCCTGGATGATATCAATAACAGATTGTTCTAGTGCATCACAATGTCCGTAGTCTGTAGCATTCACCAACCAAGTATTTCCAGCCATTGCATTAAAGAACCTAAAAAGAAAATCGGCTAATATACATTCAATTTTTCTTCCTACTGACACAACCAGTATTTAATAAATCTGCACTTATTAATTATCGAGAAACTTAAATATTTACTCCCATTAGATAAACATTATTTTTACTTTATACAATAAAACAAACAAACAAAAATATAATTTTACCAACTTGTATAAACAGTAAATATCTGTAATGTCTGTAATGAGATAGTCTATAAACTTAATGCATGACGTACATTGTGGCGAGGGAGAGAACCCTTGGAGGCTATGAGCATCCGCTATGCAGACACGAGCCTCCCAGATTTGCTAGGCAGATTGAGCCTACGTAATGCAGAAAGGGGCATGCACAATATAGCATAATGTGCCTGTGTATTACAGGAGGTTTTATAAATTTGCGTTTTAAGTTTTAATAAAAGATTTTTTTCAAATTTTTTGACAAAGTGGCATGAGAGGTTTCTCAAAGATGAGAAGTATTTATCAATTATAATAAATAGTGCCTAACTATGACTAATAAAGTGGTATTTGAAACGTTAAACATTTTTTTACATGAAAAGGAAAATATTTAAAGTAAAGAATTTGAATTGAGTTGAACTTTATCTTTTATAATCTTTAATTCAAGCGATACCCATTTTTGTAGTTCAAATTAAATCTAGAAAATTTGTATCAATTATTTAACGCTTAACATTTTTCTAATAAAGGTATTGTTTAAATCAAAGATTACAATAAAGCAAACTAAATTTACTTCAAATATATTTCTCCAAATATCTTCCTTTCTGCGTAAGAAATATTTTAAGTTTTAGTATAAATCTTATAAACCAATTTATGAGTCCACATATGTTTCTAATCATGACAATCAATAAATAACTCTATTCTTTTAGTTAAAAATTTTCATTACACATAAAAACCAAGATTAAAAAAAGCTGTGCTGTATGGTCGAGGCTCGTTTAATGCATAGCAGAGGCTCGGTCTGCATAGTGGAGGCTCGGTCGGCTTAAAAAATCTGGGAGGCCCATGTCTGCATAGCGGAGGCTCATAGCGTCTGGGAGTTCCCTCCCTCTTGTGGCCAAGGGTGATAACAATTTTAGATAGTGCTTTAATTTAAGTTTGAATGTCTTTATGAATATTTATATTTTCAAAACTGAATCGGCAGAATCTAAATAAAGCATTTAACTTTTTTGTTATTTATTTGTTGAATCAATAATTCTTTGTCATTTCAGAAAACAGGTGAGAGAAACTCAGTCTCCATGACATGACTAATTTTAATGAAGGCGATTACCATTAGCTTTGAGCTTTTTAACCTAGACTTCTTTCTATGAGAACATCGAACGACGAATATGGGTGAGTCTCATGACTATGAGTTCATTTATAGGCAAAACCACGACGTTAAGTGGTAAAGTGTGATCAGCTTTTTTATATCTATTTCTTACTGGACATTACCCATGGCTATATTTTACTAAAACAATTTTAAAAGCTTAAAGGTGAATTCATGGCACTTATTGTCTATGTTAGGCTGGGTTAGATTTTAAAATTTCCAAGGCCCTTGGCGATGGCTGGCAGATTGTATACCTCATATTACTTTTTTCTTCTGGAGCACATGGTGGAACCAGGTTTCCAAGTCCATCTAGACCTGGTAAAGCCTCCAGACCACACATCAAAACTAAAAATATACTCATTGATTATCTGGGTATTTTCATGGTAAACTAAATACCCTTTTAGCTATTCATTGGTATCAGTCTTACTTTTCAATGATAGCAGTGGCTTGAGAAAAAGTCGATTTATTATTTAAAATTCCGGCACGAACGTTTAATCTTAGTTGTTATGTTTGTATAGCAACTGAATCCAAGGGCTTACAAAAGGGGGGGGTCTGTGTGCATAGGCCCCCTACGCGTGCCACCCCCTGAGAGGCGGAGGGGGCACGCAGGGAGGTGGGCTAAGTTAAAATTATATCTAGAGATTTGTTGAAAAAAAAACTCGGATTCTTCATTTTGGAGGCAGTGCTATTAAAGCTTTTTAAACAATCATTTTGTAAATCTCTTTCATTCTTCTAAGTTCACAAACCTACAAAGTAGTTTAATTAATATAGAATCAATTAAGAGGTTTAAAGTGACTGCAGATATAATTTAAATTCTGATTCACAACTATACCCTACAAAGCTTTGTCTGATCAAGTATTGCATTAAATATCCATGTTTCCCATTTTAAAAACTGTTTATTTTCATTTGTAGTTTCTCTACTAAAGTGAATCATGCATTTTTGCTTCAGAAACTATGGAGAAATGAAGGTTTCAAAGATACATCGGAGGGTCACTTGAAATTAAGCATCTATTCCATTTAAGTATAACTACATCATATAAAAAAACTTTAAAATTTCACTTTTGCCATAAAAAAGTTCCATTAAAAAAGCGTTAATAATATACTGCCTTCAGTGTAAATTTTGATTGATATCATTATTAAGAAAATATAGGTGTTTTTAAAAAAACGTTTCCATCTCTATTTTTCACGCTTACACCACAGTATTAAGAGTGAGTGTCTGATGAGACCACTTAAGAAAATTACAGAAATAATATATCAGCACTTGAAATATGGAAGTGGGTATATGATCGAATAGTTTATCTTAACATAGTTAAAAAGGGTATCAATATTTTTAAAAGGGGTTTTTAAGGTGGGGCACAATGTTGCCATGAGGGGGGGGGGCACACAAATTCTCTTGTACGTCACTGACTGAATCAGCGTTTATTCAGTAAAAGCAGTCCAAGAACATTTTTATATTAGAATTAGCAAGATATCAACGTTTTTCGTATTCAAACGTTTACCAAATACACTTGTATACGAAGATAATACGCATATTTGTAGAAAGGAAACATATCAAACGTTTCAAAAAAATGATATTTAAGAAGAAGAAAAACTTTATTTACAGGATATTATATTGTTCATAAATTATAAAGCATCCATATCAATGAAAAAAAAAATTTAATAGTATCTCTACTGAACGATAAATCGTCTTTTTTTCTCCTGTCACAGTTATAGAATCTTTGAAAAGACAAATACCAATGAATAGATGCATTTAGTTTACCCTAAAAATGCCCAAATAAGTGAATAAATGAAAGGTTTAAAGTGTCTTGCACGCATTAATGCAAAGATGATAAAATTAATTTAATTCCTCTCCCTTCTGCGTCCTCCATCCTACATCTTGATTTTTTCCATGTGAAATTGTACTTTTATATTTAAATTGTTGACACAATATTCACGTTCTAGTCATCGTGTTTTTTGTGATCACAATTCCATCTGCAGAAAAAAGGTATATTTATACAGCTGCAGACAGGATGAATACATATATTTGATTATCTGTCCTAATTCAATCTCAAATATATAAATGTAATTTATATACAGTTGCAAGGAAAGATAAACTGTCAAGCCTGAAAGCGCTCTGCGGCAGAAAAAGTAGATTATCCTTAGAAAGATCTTCTTTTATAAAGAATTCTTTATACTTACAAACTGCAGAGTCATATTTTCAGAACACATAATGTTTGCATAATTTTTTAACCCAACTGTTACAGATTTAGTTGAACCGAAAAAAAATGAAATTTAATTTGCAAAACTGAAATAACCAAAGCTGTCTTACCGTCCTTTAGTATAACATATCGACCTGTCACAGAAATCTCTGCAGTTTTTACAAATTAAACACAAAAATTAAGACCGGGCCAACTGTGAGGTGACAACACAGTTTAACCTAACAAACCCGCTCATTTTTATAGCAGGAAACTCTTTGTTCCTTTGTTCTTAGGTTTTTATTTCATGGGATGATAAAGTAATGGGAGATCTCACTAGCTCTGCAAAGCTTTTATGAAGAAAGGAATCGAGTCTTTGCAAACAAACTCTGATGTTTTAATTACTAAATCTTTGCATACAAATGTCGTAGACCTTATATATTTCAACCATGAACTCTGTTAGATGATTTAATCTTAGTTAAAAATATCAAAGGTTTGCTCCATCAGATAACAAAGATATAGGGATTAAAATATTAGGAAATTAAACAAATAAAATATCTAGGCGCTACGCTCTGTGTTTTTTTTTATCTAAATTGGTCTTGGTACTCCTTAGTAAAGTATAACTCTGTTGCATAATTACTGAAAATATCCTATGTATACAGTGAAACCCTTAATAACGAATACATCGGAAGAATTTATCAAATGTCGTCTTGACAATTTTTCAATGAGTTTTATACTATATTTCGTAAATTTCAGTATTTGCGAAAATAAATAAATAGTTATGAATATGCTGGAACAGTTTTAAAGAGTTCCATATAATCATTTAATTAAAAAACGAAATATCTGCAACATTTCATTATCAGAAAGTGAAGAATACGACATTTGATGAATCCTTTCGATGTATTCGTTATTAAGGGTTTCACTGTAGTTGGAAAGAATCTCAAATAAGAAACCAGACATCCCTCCCTAAATCTTACTTAGACTAGGTATCTCATAGTTCAGATATTGTCCAGGTGTGATAGCGTAGATATCCACAATACCATAAGGATCAAAACCATCCACAGGGGAGAACAGTATCTGTCCCTTGATATCTCGACAGTTGTGCTGAAAATCAAAAAGTTTATGGAAAAGTTATTTTAAGGCATACATGATTTTTCTTACGCGGATTGATATGTATTTTTAAAATTCTAAATGAATTTGTTATCAAGAATCAATATTTTTGTTCTTTGTATCATTTATTTACGTATATTTAGCAGGTATGCTTAGTTTCATAAGCTTTTCATTGTCATTCTATCTTTAACTTAATGGTTTTTAGAACCGAAAGATATGATCAACTGTAGTTCAGTAGGGATGTTAACGTTTTAATTTTTTTGAAAAACGATCGTTTCGTTATGAAACGACGACGAAAAATCGAAAACGAAACGATCGTTTTTATAAAACTCGTCGCTTCGTTAACGATCGTTAACGATGACCCTTCGTTAACAATCGTTGACGAAGAGAGGAAACCGACCTGAAGGTCACCTGTACTTATTATTGAGTAGTTTTTAAGAATATATCAAGAAGTTTTAGTTCTCCCACAACTGTTTAACCTCATGTAAGACGACATTCAATAAAGGTGCATGTAATATTTTTTTCTTCAAAAAACGATCGTTTTTCCAAAAGCGACCGTTTTTATACCGTTTGTCGTTTCGATAACGATCGTTAAGGACAACCCTTCCTTAATGATCGTTAACATAAATTTGTCAATCAAAAAAATTCAAAAACGATCGTTTTTTTCATTAAACGATCGTTTTAAAAAACGTATAAAAGACGGTCGCAAATCATTTTTTTAAAAACTATCGTTTTCAAAAACGATCGTTATTCGTTTTCTAAAAGTTCAAAACGAGTGAGTCGTATTTAAAAACGATCGTTTTTTTCAAAGTACATAATAATCTTCAGGGCAAACCATGACAAATTTCAAGCGATATAAAAGAATACGTGAAAATAAAGGTTAATGAAATCATTTGGCTAAATAAAACTATTGTTTAATCTTTTAAACGATAAAATCTATTCGTGAATTCCGGGCTAGGTTATTTCTTTTAATGATGTTGATAACATGAAGAGAATTGATTAACATTATTGCATTTTATTGTCCCCCCCCCCCCATTTCCTCAAATAATTTCTGAACAATAAAGATGTCAACAGAAATGATTTAGATTCAGAAAATAAAGATTTCGATTGTTGCAATTTATTTATTGTTCTTAATCTTTTATATATGCATTGTTTGTCTCTTTGTTCTGTTACAAAAGAAATCTCCTCCCATCCCCCCTCCCCACCACTCTAATATACACATATCAGAGAACAATAGCATATCAGTAAGCATGCCAAATATAATGTAAATAAATTATATGAATAAGTCAAAGACTGGTTCTTGATGATATATCATTCATAATTTAGAACAAAGAACAATTTAATTTTGATAAGTCAAATTATCTATTGTTAAAATTATCTGGTTCAGCGATATTTTCTTTACTGTAAAATAGTAAAACTAGCAAAAGTTGGATTATTCTTCATGTATTTTTTTACATATCATCCTAATTGAATTACAAAGTATTTGATCATTTGATATACCTTAAGAAACTCCACAACAATATGACCTCCTGACGAATGAGACATCAAGAATTTAGAATCATGATCAATCACAAGTCCGTATCCAATTTCTACAGAAGGTTTATCAATTTAGACTAATCAATTAATTAATTGGTGTAGTGCTCGTTTTGCCTTCTATACAGTCTGTTTGTTTACTGTACTCTACACTAGTCAAATATAGGGTGTTAAGGGTTTTTGAACTTGTTCTTAAAAATTAAGTGTATATTGTTTTATGATGGTACAGAAATAGATTTACGTCGAGTTGAAAATATTTCATGTAGGGTATAAAAAATAATTTGAGTTTTTCAAACCTCGCCTGAATCATGAGCATTCTTTTATAACAATTAACAAAATTTGATGAATTCATGTTTAACTGTAAAAAATATCAATATATAATTTATTTTAAGCTTCCTTTACCCAAACTGCAGGACAGAACATAATTGCATACTTAAATAAGATACAAAGACCCAAAAAAATGAAAATCCAGGTGTTTTGTGTATTTCTGCAGCTCAAATTTTGAATTTAACTTTAAAAATCTGTTAAAATACCATCATAAATAGATCAAGTCTAATAACCCTGAAGACCATATATTTAACTAGTGTCTATAGCTAAATGATCAAATCCTCTATATACCAGTCAAACTGAGAAGTCAGGATAAAAACTGATCAAATTATACTAAGCTCTCTTGCTTATATATTCTATCCCTTTTTCATATTTAGATGGTTATTTCTTTCAATTTAAAATGTCTTAGTCTTGGAATTCGAGTCAGGACTCTGTGACCAAGACCTTTCTGAAGGAAAAGTTCAGAAAATTGACTAGAAACTAGTCGATCAAAAATTATTAAATCTCAAAAATAATTGTTGTTATAAAATTTATGGTTTACCCTCGTTTTCCAGTTTATCCTGAAGATGAATCTCAACCCAATCCATCACATCATTTAACCAAACTCCCTGCCAACAATCAATATTACAATAAATCCATAAAAATATCAAAGAGATTTAGAAATAAACAAAAAGATCATTATCAATTTTAAAATAATTTTTAAAAATAGCAAAAAGATTGAATGTAAATGAACAAAAAACTGATCATTATTTTGTAATAATAAAAATACCAAGGAAACTGATTATATGATGCAATAAGCAAATGAATGAAAAAATCATTCTTTTTAAACATTTTTGTCAGAATAATCATTTAGCACGTATAATGCCAAGGAATCATAAATAAGGGAGAATAAGAGTAAAGCCATAATTATATTAGAAAAAGAATTGAGTCTTTGGAACAAAATCAAATATTTAAACCCTAATATCTTTATTACTCGATGTTGTAACCCTTTGATATTTCAAAATCAAATTATTTGATCTGAAAGAATTCATAGTTTGAGATATCCAAGGTCTGCAAAATTTGGTTCCAAAGATATAGTGATTAGAAAATCAGAGTTTGTGGCAAAGACTCAATTCCTTTATATCTTTTATTTCACCTGGTAATTTGTGACTGGATTGTTCCCTAACATCCAGGGTTGAACAATGGTGAATCCAAAACTTGCAATCCTGGGGTAAATTATTCAATGAAACCTCTGTGTGCTTAGTTTCAAAATTTGTTTTTTAAAAACTTTGTTGTTTCTTTAATGTATTCTGAAAAATAGCTGATGTGGATAAAATTAATGTTTTTAATTGAACACTGGACAGAGGTTGAGCACAGAACAGTGTATGTTATCTGTTATAACAAACAAACAAAAAAACTAAGGAATAAAAGTCTAGACAGACTTGATAAAAGATTTTATAAGAATGGTTGTTTTGGTAGACAATAGAAGTTCCAGTACTTAGTAGGCTATTAGTCTGAAAAAGATGAATTGTTTATTTTCTATGAAAGTGTTCAGTGAATATTCATTTTCTTTTTAGAAAGGGAACTTTCATATAATTGAGCGTAAGCAGTGTATTTGACTTCGTTTAACAGGATAGCTACAACAAATTTGAAATATGTTTCATGGTATAGATAATGTTTACTTTGAGCAATCTAGAGCATTGTCTACTGCAGATAGGTATGGCATGAAGGGAAATAAAGTAGTGTATGATATTAGTACAACTGCATGCGATTTATTTACATTGAGAACAGGTAAAAACTGTAAGTTGCAGAAGGATTCCTTTTAAATTATTGTCCTTCTGGGAAAATTATTCGCAAGCTGAAAGAACTATCCTTGTTGTTATGAAATCTTACAAAATTATAAAAAACTAACAATAATAAATGAAATAATTTACATTATTTTATTAAAATGAAATTAAAGATTTACATTACTTTTACCTGTTTAGTAAAGTATAATAAGCTGACCCTGGAAGAAGGCCTCCGAATCCTCCAACCATATAGATGATGGGAGAGACTAGAGGTTCGTTAGTATCAGGTGCCCAAACATCAATATCATTAGATAATCCCAGATTCCATAGTGAGCTGTAGCTCCTACAAACAAATCTCACTTTACCTCAGATTCGAACTTTAGCAAGCTTTCTTAATGTATGCAATAAAGCTCTATAATTCATCAAAAGCTTAGTTAGAGGAAAATATTGAATATTGAAAGAGTAAAAAATAAAATCATTGCATGAAAAATAACATTATTATATTCAATTCAATCTCAAAGTGTGAGAAATGCTTCTATTCGCATTAAAACCTAAAATGTTTAAAAGTTAAAAACCCACGTATATTTAGTTTTGAATGGTCCAGGGGAGTACGGATCAAACGAAGATGTTGTTCCAAAAGTGAAAAGGAGGAGGCTTAATACTTTACTTAGCATTGTACAATGTACACTTAGGTGAAATACTAACTGAATTTCAGGCCAAGAAACTAATGAATTTATACAAAAGACAATCTGGAAATCCTCTGTAATCTTCAGAATAACAAATTCTGGTATTTGATTAGCACAGTTTGAATGGAATTGTTTACTTAATTTTTTTTGTTCTTCTAAATTTCAACGATGGCGTCGATGGCAATATTAAAAAAATTGTTAAACATGAAATCACCATTGCAAAAGTATTTAAAACACCTTTATACGCAGATTTGAAGTATACAATGATAAGAAGTTATATATTGTCAGGCGTCTATAAGACAGCTATCTATTAGATAATAAAAATCAAACAATATAAGTTTCAAATTAAGCAATTAAGTTGTCAAAAGAAACAATATAAATGATTGCATGATGTTAATGCACAATCAACAAAGAGTAAAAAGTGTATGAAAATTGCATAAACATCTATAATTTTTACACTTTTTTTGGGGGGGGCGGGGATTTTATGTTTAGAAAGTATTAAAATAATGTTCTGTAAAAGAAACTGATGGAGTTTTATGCCCAATTTAATCAGATTTTTTTGTAACTTGAACTGTCGTGAATGTTATTGCTTGCCTCATTATAAGTTAAAATTAAAACGTCTGAGCCAAATTTTATTATATATAATCTTTCAGATTAACCCAGACTCAGAGAATATTGTTCTTCGCATTGTTCGGAGTGAGACCAACAAAACATTCCAGTGTATCCTAGACAGTAGACACCATTATTACGTAAATGCATTAAAGGTTGGGGGGAAAAAATCATTTCGGAAAGAATGGTATAAAAAACTGTTGAACTAAAACTTTTATTTAGTTCCATATTTACTTGATGTAAAAGTTGTGTAAAATGAAGGTTTTAGAGCAAATGATGTGGTTTTTGTTTAGTATACAAATTTTTTTTACGGGGTGTTAAAAACATCTAAATAATAAGTTCATGCCTTTTGATTGGTTTCCTCTCCTTGATCGTATTTTTATAAAAAATAAGGTTTCAGCATCATATTCACATCCTCATTTTACATGCAACTCACCTTCCCATCTGCTTGTCATGCACCTGATCTTGCTTATTCCCAGTTAACATTTTTCTTTCTCTATATAATGCACTTCCACATACCTTCGTCATGTACCTTACCTCCACCTACCAGTGTTAGGTATTTTCCCAAAGTTATTTACCCAAACGACAATTTTTCCAGGGTATTTTTCCAAATGGCAACTTCCCAAATGTGCAATTTCACAAGCGGCAACTTCCCAAAGGTTAGGCCTTCTGGGAAATTGCACAATTGGGAAGTTGCCACCTGGGAAATTACCCTTGGGATAGTATCTAACATCCACATGTCTACCTTTCACATGTACTTTACTACAATTCCATTGAATATTTGATAACACTGCGCCTAGGTTTAATGGATAGAGAAAATCAATTAAAATTTGGAATTGTAAACAATATCTTTTATCCTTTAAATAATTTGATAAATCTTTGACAAGGTTTAAATTAAAATCTTACAAGATAAATATCTCATAAGATGAATATCTTACAAGATGAATATCTCATAAGATGAATATCTTACAAGATGATTATCTTACATGATGATTATCTTACAAGATGAATATCTCATAAGATAAATATCTTACAAGATGAATATCTTACAAGATGAATATCTTACAAGATGAATATCTTACACGATGAATATCTCATAAGATGAATATCTCATAAGATGAATATCTTACATGATGATTATTTTACAAGATGAGTATCTTACAATATGAATATCTTACAAGATGAATATTATACAAGATGACTGTCTTACAAGATGAATATTTGACAAGATGAATATCTTACTGAATGAATATTATAAGATATGAATATCTTACAATATAAATATCTAACAAGATGAATATCTTACATGATGAACATATTATAGAAGATGAATATCTTAAAAGTTGAATATCTTACAAGATGAATATCTTACAGAATGAATATTGTACAAGATGAATATCTTACAAGATAAATATCTTACAAAATAAATATCTTACAAGATGAATATCTTACAAGATGAATATCTTACAAAATGAATATCTTACAAGATGAATATCTTACAAGATGAATATCTTACAAGATGAATATCTTACAAGATGAATATCTTACAAGATGAATATCTTACAAGATGATTATCTTACAAGATGATTATCTTACAAGATGATTATCTTACAATGTGAATATCTTACAAGATAAATATCTTACAGAATGAATATTATACAAGATGAATAGCTAAAGACAAGCTTTTGCTGTTGTTTGATTATAAGTCAAAATTTAAAATTGGTTTTTTCAATGTTAGTATTAGTTATTATCTAGGAAAAGAGAATTTAACATTGTAAATTGATTTTTCCAAGAGCAGCAACAGGATTTCTATATATATGTAAAATGCATAAATATAAAGATAAATAAGACTAAGGGAAGGATGAAATGAACTCTGGAATAAGTAAACAATACACATGGATGCATGGATGAGCAACTAAACCAGCAATATCTCCAGATTCCACAGATTTTAGACAAATATCTGAAACAAAAGAGTTGGTGGATTAGGTTATTCAATATTTACATTTTACTAAGATTGGCTTCGTTTTAGTTTTCCATGGTCAAACTGATAAAATAGTAAAAAGCGGAAAAAGAATGAGCTCGGAAAGATTTTAAAAGGAAACAATTTTAAAAAAACTAAAGAACTAGGTGCAACAGTCCAATCTTCCCCCCCCCTTTTGAAAAAAAATATATGAATGGGATCACATCATTTCTCACATTGAGTTTCAAGTTTTTTTTACGGATTTTTATAGGATAAGGATATCATTTGATTTTTAAAACAACATTTAGAAAAGACAATTTTTGCAAGTTAAAATTGCCTAAAGGAAACCGGATTCATTTCAAATCGCAAATATCCGTTGATAAATAAAGAGAGTGTTCACGAAAAATGAACGGGGGTATAGGCTTACGGCGAAAAATAAGCGTTTTTGATCGCTACTATTCTTACTTTTATCTGTTGCGTGAGCATCTATTAGGAGAAAAATGTTAAAATGACAATTATACTGGAACGTAACGTTCATATAAATTGAGAAAGTTGTAATATACGACTCGTATTGTAAAATAATCAATTTAATTTCAAACAAATCATCCAGATATTACAACCTACAGTCATCGATTATTTTTCGACGCATTAATTTTTCATAATATTTTTTTTGTATACAATGCACTTAAAACGCCGAAATAGTTGGCCGCCAGGTGTCTCTGCTCTCGATGCTTAGAATGATTAGAAAATACACATGGCAGAGAAACCTTGCGGAAAAAACGTTGTTTTAAGTGCATTGTATATAAAACAAATAACCAATATTATGAAATTATAACTATATACGAATGCGTCGAAAAATAATCGATGACCATGGGTTGTAATATCTATATGATTTTTTTATATTAAATTTATTTTTTTACGATCCGGGTTGTATATGCAACTTTCTCAATTTGTATGGACACAGCGTTCTTCGGTAAAAGTCGTTTTTAACAATTTTTTTGTTATAAACGCAACAGTTAGAAGTAAGATTAGTAGCAATCAAAAGCGATTATCTATCGCCGTAAGCCTATACCTCCTTTCATTTTTTGCGAACACTCCCTTTAAATTAGAGGGAAAAACTTATATTTGAGATCTATAATTTCAGACATAAAAAAATCAATCACCCTTATTATGAATATTAACAATAAAACCAGCAAATATTTAAAACTTAAAAATTATGCGGAACTTCTATTTTTTTAAATCACGAAAATTGTACTTTTTGATTTTCGAAATTAATTTATTTATTAATAATTATTTTCTAGTTTCTGAGAAATTTTTTTTTCTTTCGCAAGTGATGATTTAGTCAAAGCTTGATTGTTAGTACTAAAAATATTAAGAAAAAAATTCTGTGAAAACAGAGAACAGTCGAATAATTATCGTCTTCGCTGTTTCCTTTGATTTAAAGTGATTGGAAGGATTTTGCAATTGTTACATTAAAACTGATATCTGTTGAATATTTTTACGGTTCAGGTATAATTTATAAAGGATGTCTATTGTCTAATTAATCGTGATATAAATACTAAATATATATAATTGATAAACATGTGATGTTGATTTATGCATTACTCCAATCTTTACCATAACAAATACATTTACAATATTTCTTTTATTTAGCTGCCACTATAGTATACATAATACAAGGGGGATATAGGTTCATTGTTCTGTGTATCTGTATCAGCCCTCAACATTAAAACTGATATCTGTTGAATATTTTTACGGTTCAGGTATAATTTATAAATACAACAATTATATATTATCTACATACAATGATAACCAGAAAGACGATATTATAGCAATACTTCAGCGTTTTGATGTTGTTACAAAGCAAATATTTCTACTAGTAACTTAGCAAAGCACATTTACGCTGTACAATTGCTATGTCTATGTTCATTGAACTAGTTTAAGACGTAACTTGAGTTTAAAAGTCGTCTTCTTATTTTCTGGTTATCACCATATAAAACTAACCGTTACATTATGAAATAATCGATGATCCTATGATGATTCTATGACATGAATTCATCTTATGTCAGAGAAGGATTACATCCTGTCCTGCAAAAAAATAATAATTCTTGGTCTATGTATTGAAAACCATTTGATACAATGGGAATAGAAATTAGTTGGTTCTAAAAGTGTTGAATATTTGATAACACTGCGCCTAGGTTTAATGGATAGAGAAAATCAATTAAAATTTGGAATTGTAAACAATATCTCTTTAATCTTTATCCGTTGAATAACATTGAAAAAAAAATCAAATACGACAATTATTCCTCTGTTAAAAGATTGGGATTAAATGTTATAGATCAAGTACAATCTTATCAGCTAGTCGGAACCAAGAAACTAAAATATACAATAGGAGCCCTCATGTATACAAGTTTACCATGAAATGTACTTCTGTTTCTATGAAAAATGTTGACAAGCACGATTATTCGT